ATCCTAATGATTTTTGGCATAAAAGAAAAATCTATAATTTTGACCCATACAATGTATTTTTGGCTATTGCTACAAATATACCCCAGCGACTTAAGACTGCTTTTGTGCTCCAGGGTCACATATACCTTATAAGAATACATCTAATGTAATGTTTTCGGACACTTAATTGCAAGTTAAGTGAAATAAGATGACAATATATTATAGTTTAAATTTATATTAAATGCAATTTAAATATAAAGTGCTTTTTGAGCTAATTAATTAGGACTTCTTACTAGTACATCTTAAATGTAATTTAATAATTATTTCTATTCTGAAATATGACTAAAGTGTACTTAAATATATTTGCAATTAAACATTTGCAGTGATGAAGATGCAAATGAGTGCATTTAAAATAGATTAACTTAAATGTAATATCAAATAACACACTACAGTTAAAATGTGCTTTAGTATGTTGGTCAAAATAAGTGCACTTCTTTAAAGCACAAAAAAAAAGATTGACATTATTATTTAAAATATACTTTTAAGCAAAACTTTTGGTTACACTTTATTTTAAGGTGTCCTTGTTACAGTGTAATTATACATTTAAGTACTGAGTAATATTAATTATCTACACATACTTACTATATGATTAGGGTTAGGTTTAGGGTTTGGATTAGGGTTACTTGCATATAATTATGCATAATTAATTGTTATTATAATAGTAAGTACATGTAACATGTGTAACAAGTGTTACCAAACTTTTAATTTGACATTATCACAAAGAGCACTTTTTAAAAGTGTACTTAAGTGTGTTTAGAAACAGTCATGTAAGTTTCTCTATCACTTAAGTGGCCTTTTATTTCATTAAAATTATATTAGCTGCCATACTTTTAAGATTTGAAGTACACTGCAAGTGCACATTCAATAATTAAGCACACTTCTTGTTGTGAATTGAGTTAACACAGTTTTCCTCAATGTTTTGACATCTTTCCAGCTCTAACTGAAAATAAATCCATCAGTCAATTTATGATATATTGATAAATATAGTTAAATCTAATTAAAAATGCTGAATTTAACCCAACATTTGTAATGCTACTGCTGTATTTTTTGCTTAAATTGTTGTTGTTAGCTTAGAAGTATTTAGTGCTATTTGTGTGGCACATGTAAGTGTCCATTATGAGAGATGCTGCCCATACCGTGCGTTTCAAATCGGTCACTGATCATGTTCCATATTAACTATATTATCACTTAGAAGGCAGCTGTTTATGTAGACAGCAAGGCAGCTCACTAGATTTTAGAACACAACTAATATGTGTTAATGAGAGTAAAGTATCACTGCGGGGGCGGGGCGTTCCCTCTTTTTCTCGCTTTCCTTCGCTTTTAAATAGCTTGTAAAAGCGGCGTGCTCATTTTACTTTCACTTTCAAATAGCGGCAATTCGGCGTAAAGCAATTGTTAGTTTTTAGTTCGTTTGAATTTTCCCAATTTTCTTCGCTTTCCTTCACTTTTAAATAGCTTAAAAGCGCCATGCGCATTGCGACGGTCGTTCGGCACGCTGCATTGAGCAGCCGCATTCAGTTTTTAATTGTAGCGTCTGTTCTTTTTCTTGAACTAAATGATTTTTATTACTACTAAAAATCAAAACGACGGTGGGGGTCGGTGCCGCGGTGGGCAAGTGACCGGTTGCGGCTTAACACCGGTATCACCGTCAACACCGTCTATCGCGGCAAGCCTACTACCAATGCTTATTTCATGACAATTTACCAAATAATAAATAAAATGGACATTAAATGCATTGAATTACTTAATAAAAAAAACTCAACTTCTTGGAGAAACACACATATTCACACACAAAAGCAGACGCTGCAATGCCAAACCAATGCTTAAAGCTGAATATTTGGTACACAGTACAGTACAGACCACACTATAATGAACCAATTTAATACCAATGCAATGCATTCCTGTATGTTCCTCCTTTCCTGGATGGAGCCACCATCGGTCCACACTAACCAATCCGAGAGACTGTAGGGTTTTTAAAGGGGATGTTTACCTGTACCTTCATTGTTTCCCCTTGTAGGGAGCTGTCACTATCATCAATGTCATCCGGGTGGAGCAGGATGGTGTTGCTGAGCAAATGGTTCTGCACAGCCATTAAATAACGCAAGCTTGGTGACGCTACCTGTTGATGTGGAAGTGCTGCCAGTTAATGAGATTTAGTAAACTGTATGATTTATACAGAAAAAAAACAATTATTTCAAATTACGGATGTATTTTCCCTTGTGAAAAAGAAGCGTATTAATTAACGTATTGAATGTGCACTTGTAGTGTACTTTTAAATCTTAAAAGTGTATTTAAAAAAATAAAAGTACTTGCAGATAATATATTAAAGAAATAAAGGCCATTTAATGACTTAAAGAGAGACACTTTCATGACTATGTTTCTAAAAGCATTTTAAAAAGTGTACTTGAAATAATGTCAAATTTAAAATTTTATTTTAAAGTGCATTTTAAATCATTGTTTTAATAATCTTCTGTCACGTTTTAAAGAAGTACACTTATTTTGATGTGTTGACTAAAGCACGTGAAGTACTTGATTATCGTTTGAACTATAGTGTGTTATTCAGTATTACATTTAAAATGAATATATTTTAAATGCACTAAATTGCAGCTTCATCATTACACATGAGTAATTACAATTACATTTAAATACATGATGCATTTAGTGTATCATAAATGCTTGTCAGTACATTCAACAGTACTTGAACCATATTTCAAAGACAATAGAAGTCATTATGAAATTACATGTGAAGATGTACTTAAGTCCTACTTAAGTGGGTCAAAAACACTATAAAGTTCAGCTAAATGCATTTAATATAAATGTAAACTTTACAATATTTTTATTTAATTGCAATTAACATGCAGTTAAGTATCTGAAAACATTACCTTCAGTTTACACTTAAGTACGTATTAAGTATATTATTTTAGTAATAGCACTCTTTTTAATATAGTATCTTTATTTAAAAGCGCACTTCTTTTTCACAAGGCTTATGAAAGCTAACAGCTTGTAGAACTGCATCTTTCAACATCAATTCAGTTCACTTAAAAGTAAAAGTATCTCTTATCAAAGTAATTCTTAAAGTCACATACAGGTACAGTGGAGAGAAGCAGTTCTTGCTTTTTGTCAACTTTTATTTTGGCGGAAACGCGCAGGAAGACCTCAATGCTTCTTTTTGTTGACAACAGCAGATTTATAAACGAGTCTCATTACGAATATGTTGCACGTATTGCATTGTCACATGCATTGTAAAAATTCATAAAAATGAGCAACTGACGAGTAACACTGTTTCAGCGCAGATTTTCCCCTGGATTGAACCCTGGTTAACAAGCAGATCCGCCGCAAGTTCGTGCAGCGCTGTCAGAATACATGCAATTCGTGCGAAAACAATGTTCTGCAGTTTATTTACTAATTGTTTAAGGCCATTTTGCGATTTCAATCATCATACAGTAAAACCAGCAACAATCACCCTTCCTCTTCTCATCGAAGACATTCGCTGTAGTACTAAACAGTCTCTCGCTGTCGGTGCTTGTAATGATTTATGCGTTTTTCACTGACAGTTTTGATTGCGTCATTGTTCGGTACAATTTATTCGGTCTTTTCGCTTCGGCCGAACACCGAAAGAGCTTTTTTTGCTATTTTCGGCCGAATAATTTCGGTTGCCGAACATTCGGTGCATCCCTACTTTTTGGATTTTCAGACTTCATTTCAAGGCTCACCTGATGGCGAGACACACTTCTCTTTGTATTTCCGGCTCTATCTGATCGTGAGGAGCCATGAGTAACTGCCACAGCAACAGTCCAGAACGCTTCACACAGTCTCGGTTCTGCTCTGCATTTAGATTAAAAAACTGGAACACAACCTGGATAAAAAAACAACATATTTTTATAATATTTAAATTTTTTATTAAATATTTGGTTTCACTTTATTTTGATGGTCCCTTTAACACATTCTGTTGACTATAAGTAACGTTGCACCTACATATCTACTAACTCTCATTAGAGTATTAGTAGACTGGTAGGGTTAGGGTTAGAATAAGTTTACATGTGGGTCAAAGACGAAAAAGGGTTTAAGCATAAAAACAATAAGTGTAATACTGCTTTAAATTGTTGTTGTTTTTCCCTAAAAAAATGTTAAAAAATTCTGTTTAATTTAATTGCAATTTTGTTTTTGTTTTTCTGAGCAAAAAATAAATATCATACATTTTCCCTGATTTACTAAAATGTCATTCAGTGTAACAATCTTGTCAGGCATACTTACAACAAAAATCAATGTATGACATATTAAAAGACTAATTACTTTCACCCCAAATACTAATTAGTTGTAATTTTACATTTCTAAAATTTGCCACTATCCTAGGTTTTGCCCATTTGTCAGTAAGAATTTTTTACTCATTTAAAACACAATCAAATTTAATATGCTCCCTTATTCTTTTATATATTTTAATATGTACACGTCAGAATAAGCATGTTGTTTGAATTTGTACATAAATATTGTGTTACACTGAATGACAATGTAACATTATTTTGTTACCAAATTTTGACATTTTATTCTCCAAAAACTTATTTGAAACCTTAAAAGTAGACACTTTACTTACATTTAATGTGCTTTCTATGGACATAAAATCACTTTTGTAAATTTATTTTGATGAGGGCATCTTAACATCTTTGACCCATGTACTTGCAAAGTTACTTACAGTCAGTCTGTTGGGAGACCATGACAATAAAGAGTTAGCAGATATTAAGCAGAAAGTCTTCTAATACTCTAATGTGAGTTAGTAGACATGTAGGTGCAACATTATTTATTGCCAACAGAATGTTAAAAAAGGGAGCATCAAAATAAAGTGTTACTAGAAAAACCCCACCTGAAAGACGACCAGAATGCAACGGATGATGCAGGTGTCTCCGTGAACCATGGCCTTCTCCATAACATCACATATGGAGCTGAAGTGGCAGGCCTCCATGGGCTGCTTTACTATGAAGGGTCCCAGGTGCAGATTACTGCTGGCTGCCAGCAGGTTGAGCTGATGGATGCACATGGCGCCAACATGATGGAGCAGCTGGTTTATCACTTTGCATGTGTCTATCATTTCTTCTGTTGAGTCAAAAACATATTACTGGGAAACCGATACAGATCACTTCTGTACAAAACATCAGCACACCTAAAAAAAGCAAGTGGCCTATCAGCACTCCAGTGCACCACTGAAAAATGAACCCTTGTGAAAAAGAAGTGCACTTAATTGTATTGAATGTGCACTTGTAGTGTACTTCGAATCTTAAAAGTATATTTTAAAAAACAATAAAACTGTTAATGTTAATTAAATAAAAGGCCACTTAAGTGACTCTTTCATGACTGTTTCTTAACACACTTAAGTACACTTTTAAGAAGTGACCTTTATAATAATGTCAAATTAATCATGTCATGTTTTATAGTACACTTATTTTGATGTCTTGACTAACAAACTAAAGCACACGTAAAGCACTTGATTATAATTTTAACTGTAATGGGTTATGTAATATTACATTTAAAATTAATATATTTTAAATGTACTAAATTGCAACTTCATCATTACAAATGTGTAATTACAAATAATTTTAAAAACTCAAGACATACATATTGTAGTTCATCACAAATGCTTGAGAGTACATTCAGCAGTACTTTAACCATATTTCAAAGACAACAGATGTAATTAGGAAATGACATAAAGATGTACTTAAGTCTTACTTAAGTCGGTCAAAAACACACTAAAGTTCAGCTGATTGCATTTAATATACATTTTAATTATAATACATTTCTACTTAACTGCAATTAACATGCAATTATGTGTCTGAAAACATTTACACTTAAGTATATTCTTTCAAAGTATTCAGTAATAAGTGCTCTTTTAAAAGTATGCAAAAGCGCATTTCTTTTTCACAAGGGACATTTAAGCAAAATAAGCTTTCATCACTATTAACAGCTGGAAACTGTGCCTGGTTAGGACATGCTGTAATGTTTCGAAAGTCGAAAATGTTATGTTGTACAATCTTACGCCATACAAAAATCTATTCCAGCTAACTGTTTTGTACTTTTTGTTTACATAGGCATATAGTTTCAGTACCTTTAGGCTGACTGATGACGTGACTGACGCCCAGTCGCTGGCACACATGATGGAAGGCCTGATTCCCAGGATTACACCACTGGTCCATGTAGTCGCTGGAGCACGTCCAGATCAAGTTGTTAAGTGCATCATAACAGGCCCCTGGAACAATCATTATCAAAACATAAAATCAGTACTCATACAACACTTAAGAGAGATATTTCAGGAACACTTGAAGAATGGAAAAAAATATATATAGATTAAAACTATAAATCCAAGACATAAAACATGGAAAAATAACAACCTGAATGTGACGCAGTGTTATTTTATACTATTACAGTATTTATTCATATTTTGATCTAGCGTTTACTTTTATATTTTCAGTTTATTTTAGATCAATTTTAGCAATTTTGTCATGCGCTTTTGTCATTTTGTAACACTTCCTAAGAAGCCTGTATATTTATAATGCATAAGGGTATTCTTAATGCATGCATAATGCTTTATAAACAACCTTATAATATGTTGCATCATCTGATAAATAATCATAACAACAGTTACAACACATTATAATACTTACCTATTTGTGGTTATAACTTTTAATAATACGATGCATTATAACAGTAGATAAAGCCTGCATTTATAATGCATCATAAGAGTATTCTTAATGCACTATAATGCATGCATAACACCTTATAAATAAATATATATATATATATATATATATATATATATACACACACAGTAGTCAACATTTGAAGCGGATCAAGAAAGTTCATCAAAGTTGTAGATGCCTAAATGCTTTGAGTTGCTGCCATGTGATTGGCTGATTAGCAATTTGTGTTACCAAGCAATTGAACAGGTGTACCTAATAAAGTGGCCGGTGAGTGTATATATATATACACACCTATTTGTGGTTATAACTTACAATGCATTATAAATACAGGCTTCATAGAAAGTGTCACCATCATTTTTATTATCACTTTTATTTTATGATACAAACAAAAAAAAAAAACATGAATTTGGTCAAAACCTTGATTTTTCTGTTGTTTTTGATCAAATAAAGTCTTTCAAGTGATGTTTTTCATAAATTCTGAAAATTTTAAATGTGCATCTGTGCTCATGTCTTTTTTTTTTTTTAAGAGTAACAATATAGATCAACAACAATGTCTGTCACAGTCCCAGTTCATATTTAGTCTGAGATGCGATTAGCTTTTTTGCATCATGTTAAGTGTGAAAGGACCTTAACGTGTGGAAATGTCTGATTCTTACCCAGTCCTGCAACCTGAGCTCCGCGCCCCAGAGAACTTCCAGGAGCATCGACCAGATCAGCACGACTGCTAAACTGACCGTCGGCCAGGTTAAACACCAAACTAGACGCCAAGACTAGGAAAGAAAACACAAGGCAGGGAATGAAAATGGTAACAAGAGCTTGAGAATGTTTAACAAAAAAAGCTCCAATGTAAATAACTCCTGGATTGCATGGACTTTATTAAAGTTCACTAGGTTTGGAACAACAAGAGGGTGAATAATTGATGCAATCATTTTTGGGTGAGCTGTCCCTTTAATTGTTATGCATTTGCTTAGGTAACAGCGGTGTTAAGAATGGATAACGTTAAATGATTAATCACCATTCTGACACTAGCCATGATAGAGATCAGTATAAAACAGTGCTTAATTAAAATGATTGTTTAGGGTATAAAGATCTTACTCTTGAGGGAAGAAAGGCCACTGGAGCCACCGAACAGCGAGCGTGTGGCCGAGCTCCCAGCTACACCTGGAGCGGGCGTCAGCATCACCAGATACGTCCCACACACGTACATCGGCGTCTTCCTCAGTGCTTTTATAGACAGACCACAGCTTGTGTTGACTACTGGGATGAGAGAAAAAAACAGCCACAAGAGCCCACGATCAACACTGCGATTTAAACTTTTCCAATTTGCCAGGGTTATTATAATTAACTAAAGCTAAAACCATAAAAAAAAACACTCTCTCGTGTTCATTTAACTTGATGTACTGAAACAACTCAAACTAAAAAATGTATAAAAACTTTAAGGACATATTTAGAAAAGACAAAGACACACAACAAAACTGCTAAAATGCTCTAACTAAAATCAAAACCGAAAATGTTATTTTATAAAAAAATATGTAATACTGATAAAAACTATAATAGGCTATAGCATCTAATTGCATCTCAATGATCCTAAATTGACATGAAAAATACACAGTTGGTGTACACATCCAAAACCCAAAATTGGTCCCATTATCTGAAAAACATTATCTGGGAAAAAATAAAAAATAAAAGTCTGCATACTGAACTCGAGATCTGAAAAATAATTTATCTACACAGTGCAACATTTCGACCGGTCAGGTGTTCATCAGGCACTAAAATAACACTTGAACGTCTGTTGATTGTAAACGACATCAAATCAATATAACGATAGTCGCTAGTCAATGTGTATTTATATATACATAACAAATATACACAGAACACACACATATATATTATGCAAACTATAAATGTGCGTTAGATACAGTGAAGACAGCGCGTTAGTTTAGAACTCATCTAATTATTTTTTTTTTAATTGTAGAGTGTGTTAATTTGTGCAATGATAACCTACCAGCAATGTAAATGATTTTTTAAATATATTAGAATGAGTACATTACAATATAAATTTATTAGAACAAGTACATTATTATTTATGGGCTTAAAAACAAGATGCAAACAATCAGAATATTGTACCTGGTGGGGAGTGCCCAATGTAAACATGAAACATATGCCATTACCTATATTGTACTGTGGTACAGTTATGGAGGCCCTTCATAATGCAGAGGTCAACTGCCTGCTCTGCCAATAGTTAGAAATGGCACTATAGTAAGCAGTGTTTAATAAACAGCTGTTTTACTAAATTCTGCTGAGGTGAAATTCAGTGCAGTCATGTATCGTATCGTGGCCTATGTATCGTGATACGTATCGTATCGTGACTTTGCTGGTGATACACAGCCCTAGAAACAACACCAAGTCTCTCCTGTGCAGAAATGCTAATCAAATTATTTTTCATTTTGGTTGAGCACAAATGTATTTGTTAGAACTAATAAATCTTATTAAAGTTCTTTTTTTTTAAAGAGAGTACATTGAAAGCTTTGAAAATAACTATAATAAAATCAATCTCTGCTGGGTTTTTTGTTTGTTTGTTTTTTTGACATGCAGATGAAACCTCAACATTTTATTTGTGGATTTAACATCAATAGATGGTCTAAAGCAAAAGAGCAGTAAAAATTCTAAAAATATTTTAGAGCTCCTTGTATTCATAATCCATTTGAAAAAATATGAATAAATCTGTATATATTAAATTATTTAATTTGCAAGTGTCATTGCTTTATTCATGTAAGCTATAGCTTCTAACCTTTAAATCAAAACAGACTCGTGATGTTATGAGATTACTGATTTATTTATATCTTAATGTTATTTGTGTATTTTACTTTTCATTTTATTACAAGTAGGCCTACAGCACTCCCTAAATAAATAAAACACCTAACCTAACACACCCAGAGCACATGCGAGTTATTCGTCTTATCGGCATACATTTTTTAAGCCTTTATCGGTCGATTCCGATAACGTTCCAATAATATCGTGCATCCTCAGTTTTAATATTTGAAGTACACTACAAGTGCACATTCAATAAAATTAAGTGCACTTCTCTTTCACAACAGCTCCCATTATAGAAACTAAGCCAAAGAAGCTGGTGCTTGGGAACAGGCGAGGCACAAACAACATACAGCAGCATTACCCGACTGCTCCTCTTTGACGGGGTTGGTGATGGCGGAGCCGGTGAGAGCAGCCAGCGTGGACGAGTGTGAGGCACGAAAGCGGGACATACGGCTCAGGAGCAGCTCATTCAAACACTTCGATGACTCGCCTTCCTTTCGCGAGAGGATTACCCGATCCTGAATAGGACTGGCCACACACAGACCCATCTCAGTCTGGAAAACACACACACAAAAAAAAAAACAGACAGTGGGAACTTGTGAAATGAAGGTTTATCGAACACTTATTTACTTGCAACATTTATGATAATTCCCTTGTGAAAGAAGTGCACTTAATTGTATTGAATGTGCACTTTCATTATACTTCAAATTTTAAAGGTATATTAAAAAAAGCTGTACTTGCAGGTAATATAATATTAATGAAATAAAAGGCCACTTAAGTGACTTAAAGAGAGACACTTTCATGACCGTTTCTTAACACACTTAAGTATAGTATAGTATATATTTATTTAATGCCATGTCAGCATCAAAGGCTATTTTCATGGCAAAAACAATTTAAAAAATACAAGTACAACAAATACAATAAAAACCAGCAAACAAACAAACACAAGCTATATCACACAAGATTTTTTACATTAACATGTGATAAAAATTCTAAAACATTTCCTGGCAAAATTCTACTAAATAACTCTAAGTGAGTTCAACACACTTAAGTACACTTTTAAAAAGTGGTACTTTGCAATAATATCAAATTAAATGTTTTACGTTAGCTTACATTTTTAAATCATTATGTTTTAATAATCTTTTGTCCTGCTTTAAAGTACACTTATTTGAAAGGGTTGACTAACATACTAAAGCACATGTAAAGTACTTGATTATCATTTTAACTGCAGTTTGTTATTCAATATTACATTTAGAATTAATATATGCACTAAATTGCAGCATCATCATTACAAATGTGTAATTACAAATATATTTAAATATATTACATACTCGTGTCAATAGAAATAACATTAAAGTATATTTTAGCTGTCAGTACATTCTGCAGTACTTTAACCATATTTCAAAGACAATAGAAGTTATCGTGAAATTGCATATAAAATGTACTGTTTGTTTTAAGTGGGTCAAAAAAGCACTAAGATCTTAACTAATTGCATTTAGTATAAATTTGAACTAAAACATTTTAATTTAATATGTAATTAAGTGCATTCAGTTCATACTTAAGTATTTTCTTTTAAAGTGAATTATTTTTACTATAATAAGTACTCTTTTTTTATAAGTTTGCTAAAGTGAACTTCTTGTCAATAGAAATAACATTAAAGTATATTTTAGCTGTCAGTACATTCTGCAGTACTTTAACCATATTTCAAAGACAATAGAAGTTATCATGAAATTGCATATAAAATTTACTTTTTGTTTTAAGTAGGTCAAAAAAGCACTGAGTTCTTAACTAATTGCATTTAGTATAAAATTATTTTAAAGTGTATTATTTTTACTATAATAAGTACTCATTTTTATAAGTTTGCTAACGTGAACTTCAGTTATTGCATGCAATAGAAAACCATAAATGCAACTATAAATCTGCACAGAGAACATAATGAAATCAGTAAGTCTGTAAGTCTCAAGTTCATACTGTTAGCTGGAAGACATCCATGAAGACAGAGTGGCCTTTCTGGGTTTTCTCGTTGATGCTGACAGGTGACCAAACCCAGTAGAGGAAGGTACCGTCAGAACACAGACGCAGGCTGGTCAAGCTGCTGCCCACTGGGAAATGATGAAGCGGCATCGCTACCACTTGGGAAACCTTCAACAGAGAGAAACGGGGAACTAGAAGCTTCCACAAATAACGCATTTGTAAGGGCCTAGTCAATATATAACATCATCAAAAATGTTACACATCTGATACGATTCAATAAAGGTACCATGCAAGAACATGCCATATGTATTGCATTTTATTTTAGGTTTTCTTCTTTACAGGCCATTCATACAGGACGCAATACATAAAATGGATATAATACCTGAAATGTAATATAAAACTTGGAATGACATGAGGGAGACTAAATGATGACCTTTAATCTGTCCGTTCAAATATTACGCCAGCAATGTTTACTTGTTCTCATAATTATTATTGTGAGGATAGAGATTTTGGTTATGGTCTGCTGACTGTGGTACTCAATCTGCAGTGCAGTACTGCCATAACTTGATAAAAATGTTGATTAAATCTGGCTGGTCTAAATGTTTTGCATATGATAGCATAAATATATATTTTTTTTTTTGTTGTTTTTTTGGTGGGGGGGTGGGGTTAACTGACATCTAAATGTTAGAAAATTTGGGACACATTGAGGATTCAAGCTTAATTTCCACCATTTGCAACTTTGAGAAATCTACTTGCAGAATTCAGAAGAAATCTGACATTATCTGACACAATCATTTTAATTTGTCAAAACTTTTTGTAATTAACATTTCAGGAGTAATGCATAACATGTGTTAACAAAGTCCAAACTTAAACTGAAACTACAGCCTAGAGGGGATATATACACTATACGTGAAACAAACAAACAAAATAATCTTAATTTTACGAACAAAAAAGTTGACACTATGCATCTATTTATTACCCCACATGTGCTGAAACATCATCTCAAAATGAGATGTTTTCCAAAATGCATATTGCATCAGTAATAACGCAACAAGCATGTCCACAAATCATGCAACTGTTTCATTTTCGAGCATACTTATAAAAAATCCAGTTGTTTATATTTATAGGATTAGAAATAACAGAACACATACATGTGATGTAAATGTGAAAGTGCAGTGTGCAGGATGATGGTTTGAGATGCAGGGGTCGTACCTGCAGTGTGAAGGGGTCGATGACGTGGCACAGCTGATGAGGTTTGATGTCAAAAGAAGCTGGACGGTGCAGCAAAAAGCCACTGCTGTGTGCCAACCACCCCGCCTCCAGTTCCTCGTTCCGACAGTACACAAAACCCCTGGGAGGAGGGGCAGAGGAAGAAGTTTTAGGTTAAAGAGATGTGCCAGGATTGTCGACAATTAGTGGAGTTGATTATTTTTAGCAGTGGTGCTTTTAAACAGAGATGCAATATATATGTAGAGAGAGAGAGAGAAACTATTAGACAAATACATAAAATTTGGGTTAACTACTCAAATACATAATGAGTGTGTGTGTGTGTGTGTGTGTGAGCGCGTTTTTGTGATTTATGAGGACACAAATTTGTATAATGACATGGGTATGACATAGGTATTACAACGAGAAGGTGATTTATGAGGGCATTTTGAGTGTCCCCATATTTCAAAAGGCTTATAAATCATTCCGAATTAGTTTTTTTGAAAATCTAAAAATGCAGAAAGTTTCCTGTAAGGGGTAGGTTTAGGTGTAGGGTTGGTGTAGGGCAATAGAAAATACGGTATGTACAGTATAAAAACCATTACGCCTGTGCTTTATTTGTTTTTAATTTAGGTTGTAAATTGTTAAAAATGTTGATTAAAAAGATGCAAAAAAAAAACAAAAAAAACATTACGCCTATGGAATGTCCCCACAATTCACAAAAACAACCCTGTGTGTGTGTGTGTGTGTCTGTGTGTGTGTCTGTGTCTGTTTGTACGTCACATATTAAGTTTCGTATGCATTTCTAAATTCTGCTCATTACTTATAAAGCTTTAAATGGTCAAGCTTCTCAGTACCTAAGAAAGCTCCTATCCAGTGCTGTTATTGGTAACTAAACTATTATAAAAATAAATAAATAAATAAATAAATAGTTTCCATTAACTGAAATTAAATATATAATTGGATAAAAGCTTAAATTGTAAATAAACTAGGCAACACTTTACAATAAACAATAAATCCTTAGTTAACTACATTAGTTAACATGAACTAACAATGAAAAATTCTTCTAAAGCGTTATTCATAGTTAATGTTAATCTGTTAATATTATTTAATGAACCTGAATATTCATAAATATTGTAACAAATGTATTGCTCATTGTTAGTTAATACTAGTTAATGGATTAACTAAGGTTAACTAAGCAAGGTATAGGTTAAAAATCTAAAAATAAATATTATAATAGTGTAGAATTAAAAATAATAAAAGTGACAAAAGCACATAACAAAATGACAAGCTTAAAATAAAATTTAAACTGAAAATACAAAAATAAAAGCCAATTCAAAATATTAATAAATATTATAATAGTATATAAATAATAATAATAATAAATCACACAATACTCCATCAGGTTAGCAAAATCCTGGTCAGTTAATAATGCACAAAATCTACCAACTTTTCCTATTTGGTTTCTAAACTCTTTCTAGAGTTGTAGTAATTGTTATACATTAATTTATATAAATGTTTGTAGTGCTATATATCTAATTAAACGAGAATCTGCTGATACAGATAGAGGTACACTACTTGCTATTTAGCATCTGCTATTTAAAATCTGATCGCAAATCAAATTATAATTCAGATACCTTACAATAATTTCTGTCCTGAAATCCTCATAAATGATATTTGTGCACAGAAACTAACTTCCAGTGTAACTTCAGGAGGATTACAATTTCTAAGCCGTTAAACTGTTACAAACATCCCGGTCTCCCCTGTTCTGTTGAAAAGTTCCTTTAAGCAAAATATGTGGCCCTGGAGCACAAAAGCAGTCTTAAGTCGCTGGGGTATATTTGTAGCAATAGCCAAAAATACATTGTATGGGTCAAAATTATTGATTTTTCTTTTATACCAAAAATCATTAGGATAGTAAGTAAAGATCATGTTCCATGAAGATGTTTTATGAATTTCTTACCGTAAATATATTAAAACTTAATTTTTGATTAGTAATATACATTGCTAAGAACTTCATTTGGATGACTGGTTTTGTGCTCCAGGGTCACAATTGGGTTGAAACATGTCAAAGACATTTCTTCATGAGATTCGCCCATAAGATTGAGGAGGTGCAAGAAGTTGACATTTAAGAGAGGAATGAAACACTGACGTTCATCGACAACAAAATTTCACAGGGTCCAAACGTGTAACAAACATAGTTGCTCACAGAGCAGAAATGAGAAAGGCAGCAGAACAAAGCAGGAGCTGTAGAAAGAGCACAATAGTGGCCTGGAGGTCACTGGCACAAACAGAAGAGCAGGGCAGGAGGTGAAGTGGTGGTCGTGTGGTTTTAGAGTTACCTCAGCGTCCCATGCTGCCCCGAGCCCAGCTTGCTTAAGCCCTTCCCAAAAGAGTTTGTCGTGTAGAGATAGAAACCATCTGTAGCCAGGCTGCGGCCCAGGTCTGAGTCTGAGACGGGCAAACAGAGAGAGAAAGAGATGACAGAGAGTGTCTGAGGAGCCAAAGACAGCAGAGACGCACCGCAAATTCACTTTGAAAGGGAAAAATTACTTCTAGTCAACAGCAAAGTAGGAGCAGAGATTGTACTGGTATGCTTAGGGCCCTATGAAATCCGTTGCATTTTTTACCAAATTCCACTTTTGTCCATTTCCATTTTTTTTGATTTTTTTTTTTTCATTTAAATGAAAGCTATAAGCCCCGTGAAGCCGTGGTTTACAGTGAATTTATAACAGCTAAGGGGCAAACAAAGGTGTATGTTTGTAGAGTAATTTACAAAAGCTTTGAACGTGGCTCAACCAATCAGAATCAAGGTCCGGAACTCTCCGTTTTATAATTTTCATTTAAATTCTATTTTAATGGTAAACTAAATAATAATCATAAAGCATGTCTAATTAATTTAAATAATTACACTTTTATAATTTAACAACAATTTAGTCAAAGTTAAACCAAAATTATGTTTATGGACTATGAAATCAGATTTTTTTTCCCACATTCAGTTTTATTTTTCACAAATACCATTTTTTTTCTTTTTGTTTGGTTTACTTTTTTTGTAATGGTTTAATCAAATTGTAATAATCAAAAAGCATGTCTAATCAATTAAACTGATACAAATTTCTAAGAATTTATTAAAATGTTTACAATAATAGGGCCCTAGAAAATGTTGGTTGTTTGTTGTTTTTTTCAGCAAATTCGGAGTAATCTCTTTTAATTTTCCAGGAATTATAATTTAATACAGCTTTATTACCAAAAACGGTGGTAATCAAATTAAGGCATAAAAAAAAAAAAAATTAGTGCTGCCCAACAGAGGTTTATGTTAAAAGTAAAATCTGAAATAAAATGTGTGATATTCCTTCAAAAATAATTTAAAATTCATTTATTACTATTATTATTATTAATTTGAGAAGTTCATTCTACTGTACAATAGTTATATATTTCTGTTACAATTTCTTTAAGTAAAACTAAACTTGTATTTTGACAGGTTGTCATCAAGACCAAACAGAGAAAAAAAAAAAAAAAAAAAGGCAGAATAGCTTTGTGAAGTGTTTTTTTTTTTTTTGGCGAGAGAACGGTGTTAAATAGCTTCATATTTTTTCATAGTCTGTTTACACAGGCACTAGTCCATATCGCGATTTAAGTGTAAAACCCTACTTTTGATTTATTCATCCAAAATTTGTCAAATTCCATGACATTCCGTGTTTAACTGAACATTCCATTTTTGTGACTGGATCCTGCGATTCCGTCCACGTTGCAGAAATCATAGGGCCCCACGTACTGTATGTTGTAGCATTTCTGAAACTGAATAAAAAAAGTTTCTCCTATGGCAAATGTTGTGTTCAATTGTTGTTTTTAGCTGCGTCAGAGATTGTGTCCTTCGAAGGCTGCATTTGAAGATCGATTGCGTGACCACGGTGTGACGAAGGCTGTCCAAATCCGAAGGCTCCTTCAAACGCGGCCTCGAAATGCATCCTTCGTTTCCCGAGCAATGAAGGATACAACCGATGGATCCAAGATTCATTGCGTGCCGAAGATGACAGGGTTTTTTTTTTAGAGAAAATGCCGGATTACACTTTTAAATATTTCTCGAATATCTAACGATACAAATGTGAGAAAAAACTGTAAAGCTGTTCAAATGTTGACATATCTTACAGAGATGCGATTTTATAGATGGTTTATAATTGTTATTACATACATAAATGGACCAAAGTGAGCATATTTTAACAGGTTGTGAACCTTGTTTAGTTTTTAGACTATTGAATCACTTTCAAAAAAGTCCAGTACAATCGCTACTGCCACTCATCAACGGGACAAGATCAGTCCTTCGCACACCAGACCGTCCCATTTCACAACGCTCAGTCCGACCTTCGCACCCTTCGAAGGCGTGGCCTTTAAAGTCCCCATCCTTTGAAGGATTCAGCCTTAGAATTAGGGATGTGCAACAGTGATCGAGTACTCGAGTACTCGACCGTGACAGCGATGATCGATCATGTAAACGATGATCGAAATTTTTTATTTTTTATTTTTTTCCTGATTGGTTATAGCAGCACTTTGGGCGGCGCCCTGAGCTCTGGAGAAATTTCCCAAAATGCCCATCCCTACTTAGAATTGGGACGCAGCTATCATGTTCAAAGGGTTGAGGCTGACACACAGCCAAAATATTTGATTCATTCCCAAGCAGAAATGTATTATAAAAAAACAGCAACACAGTAAACGTATGTGGACACCCCTGCTAATTAATGGGTTTCCAGTCATTTCCATAAGGATAAATATTAATGCTGCTGCATGCAATGGCATTTTAGAGCCATCTCGCTGGTACAAACACTGGTCAGCCATCATTTCTCCCTCACCTTTGCTCTCTGCTCCAGCGGCGCTGCTCTCTGGCGTGGGCAGCATGTCCTCAAAGCCCCACGAAACACTGTGTTTCGCCCCTAACAGACAGGACGGTGAGCCTGGACCTCCCTCAAGAAGCAGCAGTCTGCAAATGAGAGGTTTTTACGCTTTTCTGAGCAGCAAATCATCATGTGAGAATGATTTCTGAAGGATCATGTGGCGCTGAAGACTGGAGTAATGATGCTGATTTTTTGGGAAAAATTTTTTTACGGCATATTCACATAGAAAACAGTTAGTTTAAATTGTAATAATATTTCACAACATTACTGATTTCACTATCTTTTGATCAAATAAATGCAGCTTCAGTGAGCAGAAGAGACTTCTTTCAAAAACATTTTTTTTAAAATCGTAATTACTCTTAACTTTTAACCGGCAGTGTATATAGCTGGTGTAAACAGTCACATGACCAAAGCTGTTTAATTTCTGTTTGGCACTCTGAAAAATCATGTCAAACAAGCTCCAAAAAAGTTACAGTTTTAAAACTGGTTAATAATTCCCACCCTGTTTATTCTGCACCATTCATAAGAGTTAACTACCAACAGAAGCAGTTTAATATGTCTTCACAGACAGTAACAGTTAGACACATCTCACCTATGGAGAACATCCGCCACTGGAAGCTGACCCAGGTCTGTCTGTTTCTGCAGCAGGTGGACCGTGTGAATGAACGTTTTGAGGGAACCCCTGCAAACACAGACAGAGCAACAGAGTTTCCTTGCTGTATTTTCCTTCCTTTCTTGACTGACATAGTGATGCATATAGCGATGAAATCAAAAGAGACTCCTTCCTAGACATATCAGATCAAAAGTGCTTGAAGGAGAAGCACTGAGACACTTTAGTACTTAAGTGCTGTGTGTCTCAGCTTACCATTTATGATTGACTGGAAAAACTGATAGTTTAAAAGGGCCAGACATACATTAAGAGTACCATACTTGACAACTGGGGCAACTGTACTGAGAGACATAAATTTTAACTACCAGAGATAATCATAATTCTCCAGTTTTGTCATCCAGACAATTGCTTTGTAGTACAAATTTTAAGAAATGTTATGTTTAAATATGGAAATGAGGCATTATTAATTAAATACGATGAAGCCAGGTTAAAAAATCTTCATTTTGTTGACATATTAGGGATTTTGGATCTATTTTTATCACTCCATAAGAAAATATTGCCAACAGAAAAAAATCACCTTGTTTTTAGAAATTAAATAGAATATAAATCAGGTAAATGATATGAACAAACCCCGTGGTAAAAACCTTCAGAATATAGATAGGAATAAAACTGTAACGTTTTATGTAAGTGCTGCCGAAGTGTAGAAAAACTCATCCTTTAAAAATATGAATTGTAATTGAAATCCAAAGACACAAATACATAAAATGTAATAAAATAAACACTTAAATGTCTATTTTGGATGTTTTACTCCCACTAGTCCCACTCCGTGGGTGGAGCACGGTATGGTTTGATTTTTTAACAAGAACTGTTACTCCCCTACTAGTGATGCAACAAAATTTTGGCCAAAATAGTTTTGGAGGGCCGAAATCATTGACTGAAACAGTTAGTGTTTCTCTGATGGTGAATTTTGACTGTTTCAGTGTCTATTTTTGTGCTCACAACTGGATAAACTTAACAATAATGATTTCTTGTTTTTACTCTTAAATCTCATGATCGATCTTTTAGTCTATGCTGTTTTCTGCTGCATGAACTTCACTAATCATTATTTGTAGCACCTGCCATCCAATAATCATAGTAAGCTTTGTGCTTGGTTACTTTTAATAAGAAAGTCAAAATTTGAAAGTCTCAGCTTTCAAATTCTGCCCATTTTATCACAAAATACAAACAATAAATGTGTTTGTGACGCTCTTTACTGAGGTGTGACAGATCGCTGTAGCACATCAATTCAAACAGCAGGGGAACCGATCATCTCGTCCTCTTTACTACTAGTTATAGCACCAAATAAATATGAAATGAATATAAGAAGGTGTTGAGAGAAACAGAACAACTTACTGAAATGTATCATGTCTCATGTAATCACTCAATCAAGTGTTTCAACCACAGAAAGACATCAGTAAATTAGTTTGTAAACAACATGCCACATCACATTTACTTCAGGAAGACATTCACTGTCCACAAACTCTTTAGTCGGCTAGAAAAAAAAAACTGTAGAGAGAAGCATTTTGGTAAATATATGCACTATATTACATATTCATTATATTTTTACTCAACCCGTTGTCTTCATTATTTAATGTATGTTTGAATAAATTTGGCAACAAGTTTTTTTTTTTTTTTAATGTTTATATTTCAACAACAAACTGGAGTAGAAACATAATTCTGTCATTAAAAAGTTGACACAATATGCAATTTAAATGTTTGCATTTGAGCATTGATTTATTACAAAAATTTGATCAATTAATTGATTATTAAATATAATTTATTTTCAGTTTTGGTTTCCAGCTGCATCAAAACTTTAATTTCGGTTTCGGTGTTTGATCGGTGCATCACTAAAAATAGCCCAAAATCTCAAAACTGACCAGTACATGAATAAACAATGATTTTGCAAACTATTGCAAAGTGACTAAAGGCTATGAATAAAGGCCGGAAACGAACAGCCGCTGTGCTGCGCTTACCTTGCACATGATAGAGCCACTAGAGCAGCTGCTGCGTTCTGCCTCTGCTGTTGGGTGAGCAGTGGTCTCGCCTGTGCCGTTTCCTCCGGCTCACTCCTCTCCTCCAACCAGGAGCAAAGCAACCTCTCCAGGCCATTAAGGCAGTCTGCAGGCTCCTTGCCCAGGCTGAGCGGCTGGCAGTCGCGCAGACACGCGAGCAGGACCTCAGCGGTGACGCCGCAGAGCGCAGGGTCGTGCCGAGTTTGCGACTGCAGTAGTGGAAAGACCAACAGGAGGCCGACGCGTGAGGTAAACGGCGCCTGATCGGTGCCGGCGGCCATCGGAGGGTGGTGAGGATGGTGGTGATGTTGAGGCTGCAGGAAGCCCTGTCGCTTAAGCAGGGCCAGCGTCTCCTCGTCGGCCCCTCCGGCGCTCCCTGGGAGGACCCCGTCATGCTCCTGCTGCTCCTCCAGGGCCAGCTGTCGCTGCGCCCCCCATAGTCCGCGCAGAGCATTGAGACGGTACTCCAAAAGTCTGGTGTAAGCGTTGCTCTGGTTTCCGCAGACGGCTCGCAGGCGCTCGGCAAGCTCCGCTGGGTTCTTGGTCTCGAAGGTCAAGATCTGCAAGAGCACAGAATGGCATAGAAAAACCTGAAGCATATTTTGGCACAAGACCTTCATCAGGTTAATCTAAAATTAGTTACTTGTTTCAATGTTGTCACATTCAGGGATTTTATCTAACATTTCAAGTGGACACTTTAGGAAAAAAATTAAATGACTAAGTATGTAGGCCCCTTTAAAAGCTAGAATAGGAACACATCCTCAAAATTATTAGTTGAATTATTGTTATTTATTAATTCATTGGCCGAAACAAATATATATATATATGTGTGTGTGTGTGTGCAAACATTTATATATTGAATATAATTTATATATTATATACAATTACACACACAATTTAATATTTGTATGTTTTGGCTATATATATATATATATATATATATGTATGTATATCACATAGAAAATTATTAAAATAATGGCAACACATCCCCAAAATTATTGGTTGAATTCTTAATAAATTAATTATTAATTTTGGCTTAACCAAATATATATATATATTTGGTTAAGCCAAGATTAATAATACTTTATAGTGGGCATCTTTACACACACACACACACACACATATATGTGTGTGTGTGTGTGTGTGTAAAGATGCCCACTATAAAGTATTATTAATCTTGGCTTAACCAAATATATATATATATTTGGTTAAGCCACTGTATATATATATATATATTTATACGTGTGTGTGTGTGTGTGTATAAAGATGTCCACTGTAAAGTAATGTCTTCGATATAAATAATAGCCTTTGTTCAGATAAATAATAATTTTGTAAGTCATTTTTTTCAGTTGCAATTATTACAATAATATTTACACTTAACCTTTTTTAAATATCCTACAATATTTTAAAAGTTAAACAGCATAGATAAAAAAGAGAAAATGTGACACTCAGTAGTACTTAAATAAATAGATGCTCACCATGTTCCCTAAACAGAAATTCTGTGAAACATAAATCGCATAAATCATTTAAAAGACAAACCATTATTAATTACAGTATTACACCCACACTAGTGGTTGGTACGTTTTTATCACAATAAACTATATCACAATATTCTTAAAATGTTGGTTAATAATGATATATCTCACATTATACACATTTCTACGGAACAAATCAAACAAAAAATTCCATATTCCATATTCCATACATAAAATTCCAATCTTTTCCATATTTGAACAGTCATGTACAATCAATGTAAACCTTCTTGGCAACTATATATAATTATTTGATATAAATGTGTAATTAATCTAGCCATTACTCTGAGGTAATTTGCTCAGTGCGTGGCAACAGGACCTGGTTCCACTGGCTTAGGTTAAAAGAAGTACTCAAAACTTGCTTCATTTCAAGATGGACATGACTGAAAGTACTGAGACAGACGTTTATTCCGTTACTCAATAAACATCTGACTCATGACCTTCAGTGATGAACAGCACAAAACAACACATCTTTCTTTACAAGCTGCACACTAAAGCACCCGGTTTAGTCCAATTCACAACAAATGACACTGAACACCGTCCAGCCGACGACACAGAGCGTCCAAAAATTTCACAAAGTTTTCAATTTGATTACTTTATATTTGTCCCAAATCATTGTTTCTTAATGTACCAACTTCACCCTATGCTGCAAGATCCATTTACTCAATAAACATCTGACTCATGACCTTCAGTGATGAACAGCACAACACAACACGTCTTTCCCTTTACAAGCTGCACACTAAAGCACCCGGTTTAGTCCAATTCACAACAAATGACACTGAACACCGTCCAGCCGACGACACAGAGCGTCCAAAAATTTCACAAAGTTTTCAATTTGATTACTTTATATTTGTCCCAAATCATTGTTTCTTAATGTACCAACTTCACCCTATGCTGCAAGATCCATTGTTTAGACATTTGTTTAGTAGTTTGTGTTTTAGTGTTTCGACATCTATGCTGAATATAGGGAAATTACATTATAATCGCCCTTTCTAATCTTGCAGTTTGCATTGTTTTCATACATCAGACTTTAGACTCATTGATGTCACTTTGTTCTTTGCTCGGAACTTTTCACTTTAAAGAAAAAAAACTGAATCAAAAGATTCAGTGTTGCTACCTGTGTGCTTTTCCACCTGTAGAATCACGTTTTAAAAAATCGGATAAAATAATTGGCATTCATCAAGCTGTATGTGATCAAAATAAAGACATGCAACAGACTGGAAGTGCACAATGACATTTGTATGGCAAACACTGAAACAGCAAGAAGGCAACAAACAAGAGGAAAAAAACAACATGTGGTCAAGTGCAAAGACCATAAGTCTGGTATTGAGACGGGGCTCTGAAAGTAGATGCATCTCTCAGTTTGCATACTATTCTATGCTATTTTGTAGTATGCATAGTGTGAGACTTTATGCAAGTAAAGTGCACTTCAAATACCCGGATGGTGCACTTAATTAACCAGAAAAACCGAAGTGTGCACCAGACGGTAGAGTAGCGATTTTCAAACTGGAGCCTGGGTTCAAACAATGTAAAAATAAATAAATAATAAAAAGACTAAAAGAAATAAATAGTTGATTAAACCAAATAAGCACATAATTTAGTAATTAAGTAAATAAATATCAAACCGTAAAGTACTATAATCAGTAACAATGTCAAACGTAATAACGTAACTCATTTTCAAAGTAATATTTAATGCATTTTTCACTATATAAATTGGGTCTCCATGCAAGAAACTATATAGAGATCTTTTAAATTTTAGGATGGGGTACAAGGATGATCATATTTGGGGGTCTGTGGCATCTAAAAGATGGAGTACACAGTGCGTAGTGCATCATTTGGGACACAGCTAGTGTTTATCCAATGTAAGATGCATATAATACACAAGATATTAAAGGAAGCATCTGTGTCTGAATCATAAGAGAAGCTTAGTCCACACAAATCCAGTGAGCCACTATACTATCTAGGGCACACTAATTCTAATCTCGGATACTATTTAGGGTGGATGGTGTGCGAATTGGGACACATCGATAGTATGTCGCCTAACAACGACCTTTAGCCGTGACTATGTGACTACAATCGCAGTTTAACGCGACTATTCGTTACTTAACAAAAGGAAAATGACATTGTGTGGTTAGGACAACATTTGTGTTGTGTTGTGTTGTGTTGTATTGTGTTGGGGGGGGGGGGAAATGACACTATCATAACTACAGTTACAGTTATATAGACAATTACAGGCATTGTATTAAACATGTGGTTTCCTCTACGTCACGATGTGGAAATATTAGCATAATGCCGCCCAAATGTGCATGGTTTCAGGAACGCAATAGTGTTGATGCAGCCATGTCAGGGAGACCTGTGTTGTTATGACCCATTTAAGATAAACACCGGCCGGATTATAGCAATCCAAAGCATAAATGTAGGCACACGTACATCTTCAAGATGCCTGTTAAAGATCTCTTCATCTGGAATGCATCTGATAGACGTCTATAAGATGTCAGTTTGACATGCATTCTAAATCATAGACATCTTCTAAACGTCTATTTGACATCTAATAGGAAACATTTACATTTATTAATTCAAATAGAAACGTCCTATAGACGTATTCAGTGTTGGGGGAAATGTTTTTAAAAGTAATGCATTACGATATTGAGTTACTTCGTTACTTTTTATGGAAAGTAATGCGTTACGTTACTTTTGCATTACTTTTTCTCATCTGCTGGGCTCATTTTTTCTCTTTTCAGCGATAAAAAAAGGAAGTAAATGTTATGTTTATCTAAAGTCATTTTCACTTAGTATGGTTGAATTGGATCATTGAAGGTCAGCAGCAAAGACACTGGTTAATAAAATGAGATTAAATGCATAAAGGATATTTGTGTTATTTAGCGTATTTAAATTATTGCAGGTTTGCGTCATATTCTGAGTTTGCATTTCACTGATTTGATTCATTTTGAGCAATACTGAATCTGTTTTTGTGCAAGTGAGATGAGTAAATGCATGTTCACATTTAGTCTATTTTAGATTTGCGAACAAAATGCAAGTTTTGGCCATTTGCTATACATATAAAACACTCACCGCAATATTTCAATTAAAAACTGCATGACATTCTAAAACGTTTAATGTGAAAACACTTTATTCAGGCAAGCAGGTGAGCTCGGAATATGAACGCAATGCGCTAAATGGTTAAGTATTTTCTTTATAACGGTTTGCTATGGGAAAACATTTAATGTGAAACTTTGTACATTGTGTTTATATTCTGGGTTAATTTGCTTGCCTGTGCAAACTATGCATCATCAATAAGGTGTATACTGAATTTGGCCTTTAAATATCACTGTCTTACTACATTACTACTTCATGCAAACCTTGTAAAAATAACTGGCGGTCAGCGGTCAGTCAGATTTTTCTTGGACTTTTTGACATGAATGGAATGGGTTTGCTAACTCAAATTAGGTTTAAGTGACTTAAAGGCTGAAAGGCCACATTTTAGGAGATGTTGATCATTTGGAGGCTGTAATACATATTGTAAGCTCGTTCTATAGCAGTAAAGGAATGAAGCTGATCACTGAATGTAATACCGTGGTGTTATCATCTGCTGTCTTTGAGAAAATCCATCTGGCGAGAACTTCAAATGAACAAAGTGTTTATCTTGCTGTATGAGTAATACCAAGCATAGCGCAGTAAATTGCATGCAACACTTATTTCCTGACACTGCAGGTGTAACGGATGCCAGCGAGTAGGTGCTGTGCAGGTAAACCTCACTCCCCTGATCTCAAGAGACGCACTAGCGACTGACACTAGAGCCTGCAGTCTTTAGCCTCCGGCATGGTAGTGCGTCTGCCTACCATGCCGGAGACCCGGGTTCGAGACCCACTCGGAACGAGAACGAGGTGTGGCAGAGAGGACCCGGGAGAGAGGAGTTACATTGGTGCCGTGACCCGGATGGGAGTGAGGTTTAGGGGGGTGAGTGTAACAGAGGCCAGCGAGTAGGTGCTGTGCAGGTAAAGCTCACTCCCCTGATCTCAAGAGACG